CCTTAAGAAAAAAATAAAAAATAAAAATTATATATATATATATATATAATCAATGGAGTGTATGGTGGGGTTTAACGGTTATTGCTAGTTGGTAACCCGAATTCTGACTCCAAACAAATGCCAAAAAAGTTTCGCAGAATGAGGGTTACCATCTAACCACAACGGCATTTAACTACGTGTTTTTTTCCCCCCCCAGTGATTTGACATGACGGGTAAAAATAACTGAAGACTATGAAGACTAGAAACTGACTAAACTCCTTTGACAGTACCATTATAAACGGCTGCGTTATAAATACTGGACGTATACATAGAAAACACAGCAAAAGCAGTATGAATTGCGTTAAGGAATATTTCACGCAAAAACAAAACATCCAAAACCATAAGCGGCTAGCTCTTAGCTCAAGCTAGCATCACGAGCGGAAGACGTGACCACAGCAACGCACGGACCTCGTCAGCATTTGTGCGCGAAGATTATGAGCTTCATCCACAGCGGAACTTTTGATACAGTAGGCAAATCAACTATTCAAGTATTGCGATAGTTCTGGAGTAATCAATACGTCACGAGAGATAATATCAGTTCCATTTGGTCTTTTGTCCTAAGATTTCTTAATACAGCATATTCTCAAATACCATGCGTTCCTGCATACAACATCTGCATAAATACTTTGATTAATTTGAGTAGGTAGCAAAAAATGTCGGACTTGAATAATCATCCTCTATCAATTATAAGTTCTCGATCTATATTTTTTTGTAAAATAAACACGATATAGCATCTGAGTGTAAAGATTTAGCCAATCAGAAGCTAGGTTAGATTGTGCCATTACAGCAGCGGTTGCTAGCGGGGGAAAAAATAGTCGACGGAAGGAATGCAAGCAGTATTATTGTACTAACATTGAAAGTGATTCCCTTGTACATTCAAACAGGGTAATACTGTACAAATACAATTTTGATTGATGCAGGTCATGGTTTGTGGTTGTAACCCTGCATAGGGTGCAAGTTAGTTGGATAACTTTAAAGGGGTCATATGATGCTGCTAAAAAGAACATTATTTTGTGTATTTAGAGATATCATAGGCACTCCAGCCGTAAGTTCCTAATTATCAGTGAAAGGTCACTCATTTAACTTAAAATAAAGTAAAAAAAATTAAGCAATACACAAGAGAGATAACAATCACAGTGCTATGATTACAATTATAATAACAGTGATAAAAAACAATAGAGATAAAACACAAATGATGGTCGATATTGTTTCTTCTTATAACTGTCCAAGCACCTTGGCGTTCTGAGGTTACAATCAAACTAGGCCATATAAGTACCTTGCAGTCATCGTTAAGTGCCTGCAGGTGGCAGCACCTAGACATTATAGATGTTGTTGAGTTTGGTGAACTCCAACTGAACGTCATTGATGTCATGAAGAAAGAGGACGAGAATGCCAATGTTGTGGTATCTGAGGATGATATGAACAATGATGAGTGGTTTATTAACTGCTTTTTAGTGGCATATAATTTGAGTTGATTATTTGTAAGTTCTGTAAGTTATTATTGTTGGAACTAGAACAAGAACTTCAAACCCCCATTTCGACAGGCTGTAGTATCACTGCTTAACATAGTCTGTAAATTTGCCTGACCTGAAGGCATAGGAGAATGTGATCAGGGCCAGAGTGATGAAGTGATGCACCACCATCACAAGGGAGTCCTTCCTCCAGGCATCCATGTAGATGGTGGCATATATGGAATGGCCGTAGAAGCTGCCCTGGATTAGGTAAGCTATTGTGATATCAGTGGGAACCGACATCCCACTCTTCCAGTCTAAACCAAGAAAGAGAGAACATAACAAGTGACACTGAGTTCTCCAAGTGAACTCCACAACCATAAAAAGAACAACACTAGATGGCAATAACCTTGACTTTCAAAAAGTTGAACACTGGCCTCATAAAACAGATGGTTTATACTGATACAGTAGAGATTAAAGTTGTTTGTATGTTGCTGTCAAGGGGCATTCACACTATCAGTGATTTGCCACCTGAAGATCCCATTCATTTTTAATGACAGTTGACGGTTTCCGGCAACATCAATCATCTTTGGTAATGTGACAAACTTGCAAATAAGCCATGACATGATACAGCAACAACCAATGGGAGCGTAAATAGTGATCAGTGGCCAAAGTAAATGGAGCTCCATTGTGTTGATAAGGAGTGTTAACAGATAATAGCAACTTGTGACCTTTAATGTTTATTCATCAGGGCCTGTATTCACAAAATATCTTAGGGCTAAAAGTAGCTCATAACTCGCCGATTTAAGAGAAAATATTAAAAATAATGGGCGTGTCAATCCTAAATTTAGGACTCTTAAATTTTTGCTCTAAGAGTATTTTACAAAGCGTTTTAGCACTAAAAC